CCGCCTGGTATCGATGCAATTTTAAGCATCAACATCGACTTTGCTTTAATCAAGGATTAAACTGACAATCGAGGATTGATTGATTAATTTCGAAATTAATTCCCAACTGAACTTTGACCTTATCTTCATCATACGGTCGACATATCGATATCTTGTCACGTTTTATTTGTTTAAGATATTTCAAATCGGATACACACAATTGAATTGATACTACTAATTTTATCCACCAAATGACTTTTTTCATTTTTATGTATTTTAAAACTGTTGGTCTGCTTGCCAGCCTGTAAAACAACATAGAAATGGTAACAGAATTATATCTCCACCGGCATCGTGGCGTTGTTTTGGGGAAACTTTTTGTTTTTCACCGTCGCAGTCTATGTAACTGACGATCGAACGTCTTGGCAGGCTCGATTTTCTAGAAAACGACCACTCAATTTGGAGTGCCCCAAATTGAGTTCGTAATCATCAAAGTTCGAGTTAAGCTATTAAAATCAAGTTTTACTGACTTCTACGACGACACACGTCAATTTATCTGAGAAAACTTATTTAAAATAAAGTTTAAGAAATCGAGTTGTCATGTCATTGATTGTAAAGCGAGGAAATGACTTCCGTACTGAAACTTCTTGCAGAATAATTCGATGAGAAATTAATTAGTGTCACTAATTTTGATCATAAAAATTTTGTCAGATTAATATCAGAATATTTTTTTCTTTCATTGAAGCGCGATTTTCTGTAAATTTGAAGATAAAGAAGACATGATCTTTTTATTAAGAAAAACATATATTTTAATATTATATATTTTAAAAAATATATAATATTAAAACATATTTTTTTAATATTATCGCACACATAACAATTGCGAAAATTTGGGATATTGACTGCGATTCTTAATATGCTGTATATTTTGTTGCGTTGTTGCTGAAGATGATTCAAAAACGGAGTCGAAACGTACGAAGTGAGATAATATTTTTATTGTAACATACTCGATATTTTAACAACCAGAGGTAGACTCCTATATTGCTTTATTTACTAATCTTGTTTTAATATTATATTATATTAATTATTAATTATATTAAATATTAATTATTAATATTGAGTAGTTCATAGAAAGAACGATTTTGCTGAAATTTATATTTGATAAACTATATCTGATTAACCAGATCTGAAAATAATTTTGTTCGATCAACTATCAAAATAATTACATAGGACGCTCAAGTATAATAAACAATGCGGCAAAAAGTTCTGATATTTTAGCAACTAGCTTAAACACTCTACATAATTATTTTAATGGTCTAACAAAATAATTTTCAGATTTGTATCTAGTTAATCTTTTAGATACTTTAGCAATCCGTTCTTTCCATGAAGCAAATATCATCTATACATACTTTTTGTTTAAAATTTTATAAAAAATTTAGGATTCTATTTATATTCAAGTTAATACTTGTTTTTCAATCAGAGTTTTGAATCTGTTAAATTTAGTATGTTTAATAATAGCACGAATTTATTTATTTCGATTTCTCCACATCTGTTATGGCAATTTGTAGTTTAGTACATGAGTCGTATCCGATCATCTACAGAATAAAATTAATTCCGTTGCCTTTGTTTCATTATTCAGTTCTCGGCTTATATCCTCGCCCTAGGAACAGCAATTAACATAATGAATTTTGGCCGCACCATATGCCTCATCATTTATCTTTTGCATACGATCAGTTCTAAGTACCAGAATTAAAGTGGACGGTGATTCTCATGAGGCTCACCAAATAGTAGAGAATGTTAAATGAAGATGACTTATATATATATATATATATATATATATATATATACCTATAGCTCGTAATAATTTACCAAATATTTATGCGTACTATTATTGAAGCCGCTTGTCTGCCTCCGTCGGATGTATCGTATTTCACAAAGATCCTTTTATTATTGTCGCTCATTAGTCATTAACATTATCAGTCCGAAATATATTTCCCTTTCGCTATTTTACTCACGATTCTATTTTGCAATTGTTATTCACATCGCGTAAATAACTTATCTGGACTTGTTCTCTTTCTTTTCCTTATATTTTCTGCAGTTTCACTGATGTAAAACGTATTACGGACGTGTTGTAACACATATGAAACACAAATGAAAATGAGGATGTCTCCACGTGTACCAGATGCCAGGAGAATGACGCGCGCATTGTTCCCACGCACGTCTGACTCTGACAGAAGCTCAATGATTCGTTTGCCGATTGGCAAGGCCGACCAGTCGTCGGCGATTGCTTTCACGCATGGGCGTGAATCGCTTAGCCTCACCCGAATGAAAATATACATACGTTTCAGCATAGTTGTTCGCAACGACAAAGTCGGCTTCCGATTCTCTCGCATCACAACTCTCCGCGCGATCAGGTTTTGAGAAGATATATTCAATATTTCATTAAACTATATCTCGACGTAATCTCGTGGGACTTACATCAAGACTTGATAATATTTTCCTTGATAATTTTATAATCTGTTGCTTAAATCAAGATGAAACTTAATTTATGCTTATCAATGTACAATAACTTAAATTAACTTACTAAATTAACTTTAATCTGGGTTCAGCTTACTTTACCTTTTTATAGTCTTAAAAATTAGAAAAAAATGAAGTCACTTGAACCGAGATTGAAGTTAATCCACATTGGTAGAAATAGGCATTAATAGCTAATCTAATCATCAAAATTTTAATCTGAAGAAAGTATAGACAAGATTTTTTTTAATAGTAATACTGTTTTGCTGCAAAATACAAGCATTAAGTATTACTTGAGAAATATCGTTTTCACGTTACTTTATGGACCCGCTTTTAGAAGGCGATAAAGATAAAAAGATACTTTCGTTTCTTTAGTTTCAACGAAAGCGATGAAATTCTCTTTAACGCGGCTGAAAATCGTCATGTTCGGGCATTCTCATCAATCCTGTTTTCCTCCTAATAGCCGATGTGTGGTTGGCAACGGTGCAGCGGACGTTTGACGGAATAATGTGCATGCTAAGTGTGCGCATACCGAAAGAGTTTTTGCACGCTGTACGTCGTGTGCAGCTATAAATCATGGAGTCCTTCAAACAGGAATGTAGACTATATTTTCTCTCTACGAAGACAGAGAAAGAGAGAAAAATAGAAAAGCGCCTTTCTCTCTGCTTGAAACTTCCCAAATCATTCTCTCGCTAGGTCACACTCGAATTTTGTACTTATCTCATCGGATAACGTGCGGATGTGTGGGATTTCTGCTCATCGCGAAATCCAGCTATCCGCACAATGTTTATCTGCGTTTAAATGCGGGCATTTCGATAACACGGAAAAAACGAATGATTCTGCACTTATCATGATCCCCATTAACACGGGGTGTAATGGAATACTGAATAATGGAATCTATTAAATGCTCGCGATACGGAGATCGGCTTTCCAAATAAACGTTTCTGTATTGACATTCGACCATCTAGTTCAACAATCAAATGCAATCTTTGTATTATTGAAATGAAATCAAATATTAATACAAGATTACTCATCGCGATATTATAATAATAAGCTTTTATCGACACGAACTGATTGGTTTTGCTATCTATCTGATCAGTGTAGAAATATGTATGATCCTACACGGAGAGTATTAATGAAACAAATACGCTATGCTGTTGCTTTAATAAAATTTTATTTATTTTATTAATACTGTTATTGAAAATTAATAAGATTATTTTTAATTATATCGCTGTTGATTGATGCTGTTAATTATTTTTTCCATATATAAATATAAAAATATAGATCACAAAAATTGCAAAACATAATTTGTTTTCTGTAAAATCTTTATTGAGAACCCTTTTATCGATTGATCTGATTTATAATTAATATATGTATTTTAAAAAGTTACGAGGTATATTATCAAATCCGCATATTTAATTCATCCGTTTACGCTTCGTTTAGCATTGGTCTAATTATTTCATATTAGCGATTATCAGTTATTAATCAGTCAAACGGGTCTCTCACGAATAGCCTATTTGAGAACACACAAGCGGAGTCGTTAAACTCGCTTTGATAATTTTCAATAGGTGACGTGATAGACGGGGGTGGAATACGCGACATAAATCATAATAACGGGGCCCGCGTATTCATACCCGCGTTTGCGGTGGAAATACCTCGCATGCCCACGCGACGAGAGCTAAATTAACAGCATGCGGCGTAATTTTAGCGTAATGTAAATCGATATCACCGCGGTGCTCCCCCGCTCTCTGGCCCCCTCTAACGTGAACGTCACGGAATCCCGCTTTGTACGAGACATTTCGCATTGCCGGGAGAATTGCGGCCGAAGCTGTAAATTTTACAAACGGCTGGCAATCAGCCAGGCACATTTTTGTTACGGACCATGACCGACGTAACGCTGTGTCGTGCACCCTACGCTAATGAACACCGTGCACTTTCGCGCTATCGGAATGCATCCGTGTCACCTGCCCACGGCGGCATGCCTATCGTGCTTTATCCTACTTGCCAAGTTCTCGATCACCACATTCTCACGTTACTCGTGTGAATACGTTTATACCGGAATCATATGTCTCCGTTTCGGGGAGATAAGTATTTATTTCCCGTCGCTCCTAGAATTAGCTCACATCTTTCCTTTATTAGACTTCGTCGTTTAATAAATGTTTATAGCATCATAATAAAGTATTTATATGGGAAGAGATAGGTCTAGACAAAGAAATGAAAAGGAATTTAAGATATTCAGATATAATTTTAACTTGTCAATGAATCTACCGTAAGAACCTTGGAGGTTTCGAATGATCCGCCACTCCAATGTCTGTTTCTCCCTTCTAATATCGCTAAATGATGACTATGAAACACGAGCCAACCTCTATGACGCAAAGGCCGACGAACCAAGGCCAAGCCTGGTGTAACCTTACCGATCACTCCTTCTCAGGTATTCGCCTAAGCGAGTTCTCCATCTCCAAGCGAGTTCTTTTCTGAACAGCGATGCGATCGATTTCCCGTTTGGCAAACGTAATGTAATGTCAATTGTCGTGGTGAAATCACCGTGTTGACGGTCCGGGAAAGGAAAATGAGACGACGATGAACGGCGAGCGAGATTCGTGACTATTTCGCGTACTGCGGGAAGAGGACCACGAAGAACGAACGCAAGGAAGAAGAAGCGGGCCGGTCCGGTGGGGCCCCGGCCATGGGGGAGACAGTATGTTCTCCGAGCTGTGCAGGGAGACCCTGCGGAAGGCAGCAGTGTGTTACTCTGCTCGTGCAGGAAGTCCATCACCATCGCCACCAACGTCTCCGCCGCCATCACCCGCCAAGGAGGCAAAGACTGCTGCCAACGCTGACCTGGCAAATGTCCGTGATGCCATTCACGAAGGAGTCAGAGACCATCACCACCACCACCATCATTCAGGGACCACCGCCGGAAAGCGAGCGTCGCCGACCGGAAATACCACCAGCGAGCCCAGAGACCCGGCCTCAGAAAGATCGGCCTCAACCGATCGTCCGAACGACTTCAGGGAGTACGTTTACGTCCGGTGCGCGACTGACATTGGTTCATTACTCTCAATGTTCTTTGAGACTAGATCGAGCATCAACCGTTGGTTCCTTCGAGAATTTAAATTCTGACAGATAAAAAGAGACTGTAGCTTTTTTAGAGCAATCCTTTGGGATAGGCAGTTTATTTATTAGCTCCCATAGAATTGTCTGAATTTTTATGGTTTCTATACTCTACACTCTGCGAGCTTTGTTACGTTATTGTAATCCACAACTTTTATTATTAAACGTTTTACGGATATTATATATATATATATACACACATGAGAGAGAGAGAGAGAAGATGTTTTACGTAACCCGAAATTGTAAAATTATTATTATTATTTCTTTCACTCTAGTTACCATTATACAATATCGATCTATAGTTTCAGTTTAATTAAAACATAAAAACATGATAACTAGAAAATTGCGTGATTGTTATTTTCGCGAAACAATAACGTTGAACGACATTTTCGCATTGCGACGGTCGATGCTCGCATTGGATCTATTGATCCATTGAATGGCTTGACGTTGTCATTCGAGGAAATTGATCGATCACATGCATCATTCCGTGAAACTCAATGCAGTCTGATTCGCTCACTTCCGTTTCATGTACCATGAGATTAGCTTCAACGTGCTGTCATCAGAAAAAATCGACAACATTGCACCGACGTAATATCTCGATTTTTAACATAGTGCCAGTATGGCGACATCGTTTATTCTTCGCGCTCGTTTATTTGATCTGAACATATTGGACGAGTCGCTTGTATTCAGTTTCGCGATTGAATCGCTATTGAATCAACAGTTTACAGAGCTTATATTTATTCTGACGTGTTATTACATGATAAATGAAAAAATTAGTTAAAAAATACATAATTCAAATAAGATTTTATTAATTAAACGAAAATTAACGCGAGACATCGCGCCATGTTTGTTTACATGCCCAGAATCAATGCATTTCTTAAATAAAATTCGGTTTTTCATTTTAAATTTCTCATTCGGTTCTCGCGAGTCTTATGTCAAAAATTGAAAACAATTTTTTTTGGCACGTAAACCGTGGCGTAAACGTAAACGTACTCCCAGAAAGCGACCGGCGATGCCCACTGACTTCAGCAAACGATTGCCCGGACTCGAGGCAAGAGAGGGACGACGTAGTGGCACGTGCGGTACCACCGAGTCCAGGGAGTCTCGATCGGTATCCCCCGAGAAAGGAACAGGACGTCAACACGAGGACCACCGAGGAAGAGGTGGAAGTGTCGGCAATGAATATGGTAGATCGGACTCGAGAATCAGCCGACGATCCTCAGGATCGTCGCCCGAACCCGAGGACAACTCCTCAACTTCTGGCGACGAAGGTACCTTCCCCTGTTGCTCGCATGCACACTGAATTTTTCACGGCTGACCCCGACTAGATCCGTCGGTTTATCCCGCGGGATTGTAAAACATTCGCGTGCTCTCGCATGTCGACGCGAGTTCAATCGTATAATTCGTACGGCATTAAAAATGCAAAATTGATTACCATTATCTCTAACCGATTTTTATTCGTAATATTAGGTATAATTCGTAATAAACTTAATTCTTGCCGTTTTTCGTCTCCAAAATTGATTTGTTTCAAAGGGAAGATGAATGAATACCTTAATCAAAGTAATTTCCTCCATTTTCTACTTTATTACTAATTAATAATACTTTATTTTAATAATACTTTGATTAAGGTATTTCCCTCCGAAACAAATCAATTTTGGAGACGAAAAACGGCAGGAATTAAGTTTAACACCTAATAATTATATGTATTATTACGCTCGATTAATTTGGAAACGAATCATATGATATGGGAAAATTTAATTGTGTTTAAATGTGAAAATTAAAAAATTACTGATGTGATAAACTGTTCGAATGCACCTTCCCTGTATAGTTTTTAAGAATATACAAAAATATATTATTTTTTTTATACTCAAAGAAAAACATAGTACAATTGTAAAGGTGTACAAATTTTATATATAGAATTAAATATGTAGGTACTCTCTAAAAGTGAATCAATGTATTATTGCTGACTTCAGTGCTGTACTTATAACTAATGTAATCATTAACGAATATTTGCTATTTTTCAGTAATATCTGATATACTAATATTTACTGGAGATTATTTTTGCAGATTAAATCTACAGAAAATCGTAATTTCTAAAAATGAATCAGTATATATTATTAGTGAAAAACAGTAAATATTCGCTGATGATTACATCAGTTATGTCAGCTGTTATCTTTATAGTTACTATTTTTTTTTCTTTAAGTATACTTACGCTGAGATGCATGTATCTCGTTCCATCGAGATGTATGATACAGAAATTAAATTAAAATTAAATGAAATTTTATTTTATGGTATTATTAAAATTATTTAATAATTTCCTACTTAAAAATTCTTGTATTGATCGTATATCAGGTTAGGTAGCACCTTTTAAACACGTTATTCTTAGAAGAAAGAGAGTATATCGTAGAAAATGTTCAGTGATAATCCCTTGAGTGCTCGGCGTGGAATAGCGAAAGTTCGATGAGATCTCCGCGTTTGGGAAATACTCTCGGGGATTGCGGGAGTTGTTGATCGTAGCTCTTTGAGGAATCGAGTTCACAAAGTTGCAGGGAGTACCTCGACAAAGGTGAACTGGGAGATCTTAGATAGCTTCGTCGAAAGAGGAGACCACATAATCGCAGAGGAAGCGTTAATAGCTGCGTTTAGCTCATTCACGCTGTCGTTTACAGATCATGCAAATATATCATTCAGAATTTGAAGATGAGATATAAACGCAACATGCATTCGGGATTTCATTCCATATTGCTTTAATACGAAGTATTAGATTATAATATTTATGAATTAAAAAAAGAAATTATTTCTATTATCTGGACGTATCAATTCTTTGATTTATCGCGCAAATAAACAATTCAAGGAACTCGATGGAAATATAAATCAACACCTGCTATGCGTTCTTTCGAGAATTTGCAGTTAAATCGCAGAAAAAAATCGACTATAAATTCCCATTGTTACGTTAATTGATAATATACCTCAGTATTTATCTTTTTTTTTTTTTTCATTTTTAAGCTTAACAATATAAATGGATTTATACATTGAAAAAAAGCGAAATTTAAGAAGAGGTTCTAATATAATATTAGCTATTTTGTATTTCCATATGCGAAACTTCATAGACGATGCGCTCGGCTCGTTTGTGCTCCACTGTGTAACGTTTCCACGCTTTAGAAAAAGAAAACTCTTCAAAGGAGGAACAAGGTCGGAACGCGACCGCGCTACTTTATACCTAGATAAACAATCTGCGATCGATTGCAAGGGTTCCTTTCTTCGGTCTTTTTCCCCCATTGTGTCCTGGGATTCTGACCATTTCTGTAGTCGACACAAGTACTCTTTTCTTCCTTTAGATATTTTTATATCCTCTTATTTACTGTCGTAAAATACAGCACAAATTCTACTGTTATCGCGTCAATTTTCTCGGACCCAGATTTTTTGATAAATTTGTAATTAACGTTTTAAAAAAGAGAAGCTATTATACTTGACATTACACTATTTAAGTAACTAAAATAACTGAAATACTTAAACAGATTCTACAACCATTGAATTGTTTTATAAAAAAAGATAATGAAAAGATTTGATAATAATATTATCACTCACACACACACACACACACACACACACACACACACACACACACACACACACACACACACACACACACACACACACACACACACACAAATATTTGTATCACGTTTCATATTTTAACCAAATAAATTTTATATAGGATTTATAAATTTTATGTAAGATTTTATATAGATATGATTCAGTACGCTACAAAAATAAGCATTACTCGGATTATATATGAGCTATTGCAATTGACATGAACATCTCGATTGCAATGGATTGCTAAGATCGCTGAAGCAATACGTTGATATTCTCAAGGATGCTCAAATCGCTGAGCTGGTAGCTTAACGTGGCATCTTTTCTCACAATCGGAACTTCCCTTCTTTTGCCGAGACTTTCGCAACTATATCAACTGCGCTCGAAGCCTAAAAGTACCAAAAGCTATCTCGCAGTGTGCCAACTTGCGATGTTCGACGACACTTCTCGGGTTTGCTTGCGATATCAAATTCTCTTTCCACGTGACCTGTCATATACAAGATCTCCGTATGAAGTTAGCTCTCCAACTTTTAAAAAAATTAATTTTCTATATCTTATTTGATTACTCGTCGTTTGCACATGTATGCACATTTTGAATTTCCGTTTTGTACACTTCTGGTAAAAAATTATTTGAAAAACAATTTCGGGGAGCTAATTTCACGCTAGCCCCCTAATCATGAGCAAATTAGATTTAATTAGTCTCAATCGATAGATTTTTGTTTGCACATTTCGAAACAGTCGATTTTTCGTTTGCATACCTTTAGTTAAAAAGTTATGAGCAATTAAAGTTTCGAGAACAGTCGACTCAGGTAGATACGTTTGAATATAGTAATTTTTTAACTAAGAGTGTGCAAACGAAGAATCAATTAGTTTCTTAATGTGCAAACTAAAATCTATCGATTTATATCATTTTGAGTATAGTAACTGCGATTTGAACTTATCTACATGAATCAATTGTCCTCGACATTTTAATTGTTAATAATTTCTAACTAAATGTGTGTAAACGAAAAATCGATTTATTTCGGAATGTGCAAAGAAAAATCTATCGATTGAGGCTAGTTAAATTTAATTTATTCGTGGTTGGGGGGAATAGTGTGAAATTAGCCACCATATTAAAAATTGTTTTTTCAATAACTTTTTTATCAAAAGTGTGTAAACGAAAATTTGAAACGTGCATGAGCTATAAAAAGTTAATTTTTTTAAAAGTTAGAGGCCAACTTCATGTGGGATGGTTTATGAAATATATTTAAAAAAATTTAACATTATCTTCTCACACACACACAACTGCAGATTTTTTAATATTTAGATTTAGAATTTAAAGCTCTCACATTATCTAATGTGCGATCATTTATATAAAATTTCAGTAGAATTATATTTATAATTTTGTATGTTACTTTTAATACAAAAAATATTTAAAGAATCGAAATATGTGACATATAAAATTATAAATAGAAATCTGACATGGATTATAAATCGTCTTAAGGTTTTGAGCTTTAATTATTTGAGCTTTAAGACGTTGTTTACAATACGCGAAGTAAGCTTGGTTTAAGAAGTAAGAGTAAGAAATTGACCAATCACAGTCGATTATTCTTTTCACAATCGACTGTAATTAGTCAATTTCTTACTCTTACTTCTTAAACCAAGCTTACTTCGCATATTGTAGACAACGCCTAATATTTTAATATTAATATATCTCTATTGATTATTAAAAACAAAATATTTCTTAAGCTATTGAGTATAAGCAATCACGGATTAAAAACAGCTATTTGAGAAGGATACGATATAAACAATTTTGGTCTGTAGGATTCATTAATACGGATAAAATTTCTAACGTTGTATTTTTTACTTTTTTCCAGGTGAGTATTCGCCGAAGTTGATGGAAGCGTCTTATCTTTCTTCTACGGTGTCAGGTATTTATAACGGAAAAGTCATTTGCATAATCGAACCTTAATTTACAATACTACATCTAATACCTGCTAAGAATCGAGAATGGAATTCTTGCCGAAAGAAAATCTAACTACATTTAATCTTTAAGAAGAAACGAAACTTATAATCATTAGTGAAAATCGTATTCACATCGATTTCCGATTTCCTTTTTACCGCACTATACTATTTGAAAGAGCTTAAAAGAGTTGGAGACCGAACAGACGCGCGTTATCGCTGTTGCAGGCTATAAGAAGACGCAATTAATTTAAAGAACTTCATTCCAACGAGGTCACTGCTCAGTTCAGCTTCAACTCGCGTTTAACTTGCGTTTTTCTCATTGGCATTTTTTCTACGTCCGTTTTTTTTTTCTGTCCCTTTATCTGTCAGCACGAAAGACTTTGCTCATTGTTCGGAGAACACACTCTGAAACTTTCTCACGAAGTTGGAACGATTTTTCGAATGTTCACGTATTCTTCAGAGGATATCTTTTTGACAACTTCAATCAACATTGTCAGAATTCTTCCAAAACGAACATCATCCCTATTAAATCGAGAAACCCCGAAGCTATCAATCAAATTCATGTCGCGTGATTATTGTCTGTGTTTCGCATAAACGTCGACGTCGTCAAAGTTCGGCAGTGAATCGTTTCCCGGTCATTAATTCGATTACGTCGACCATCGATGCGGGCAACCGTGATTAAATCTAGTTATAAATTATGATGATTACTGTGGCTTAAAATGTACGCTAGCAT